CTAAACAGCCAGCCATCCTAAATGATATCGATCCGAGGCCAAACCTGAAGAACAATTTTTATCTTCTAACTAGTAAATATATATAATATGGTTAGAACGATAAAGAATATATGTAATAATAATAATAATAATGTTGGTTATATGTTACTGTCTACCTACAGATCATTGAGTAGACTTATAAGCAGTTGTCCAATATGTGCCCTGTCATACAGCATCGGTGGTAAACTCATTATGGTTGAATTTTTATATTTAACAGCTGTATAAGCATAAATTCTGATGAAGTGTCTATTGGTTTTACGCAGAGAAGAAAAAAGGAGAGAGTTGGGAACAATAAAGTGGGTATTCAGTATCCGGCAAAGGGGTTTTAGCCAACTGATCACAAGAATTTAAATGTTTGTCAACAACAATGCCAATTAGTCGGGTCAAAGGCATACCACAGTAACCACTCTTACAGCCTTCAAAATAGCATAGCTGTTTCTTAGACAGTGAGAAGTAAAGAGTAACTGGTGGGAGAAAGTGAATTAATAAATCATGAGAGGAAAGGTTGAGTTATGTCAGATAGTGTGAATTCCCTTTTTTAATACATCTGACCAAAAGATTTTCCTAGAACTCAACAAATAAACTCTAGTGAATTAATCTGATGCTCGCTAGTGACTTGCAAAAGGATGGAGTTTCCTGGAGTTCTAGTGAGAAGTCGTGACCAGTGAGGTCCATCCAGTCGGGAGTGAGGAAGTATTTCCCACCAATGACATTGGGTGGTGGTCGCAATGAATCACGAATTGGTAAAATTTAGAATTCATGGAACAGCCAATGGACCGGGTCCCGTTGGCTAAATGGTATACTAGATCGCCTTGTAACCAGAAGGTCCTGAGTTCGAAACCGCATGTGGCGGGTGCACACCCCCGATGATTCCCAAGCTGAGATGAAGCAGCTGTCCAGTATTCCCTGGTTGTCAAGGGTCCTCTAACTGATATCAATCCATGGTCGAACTCAAGAAAATATAAGAAGACCAATGAAGGTTGGAAGATAAACCGAAACTAAGGTGACTAATATTCGATTTATTTCCTACTGCAGTGCCGCTAGTATTATAAGAAATGTAGGACTTAATTAGTTCACCTACGTCTTGTTCATGCTTGAAACTGTAACGAACAGTCTGACAAGCAGAAAGAATACACTTTGAAACCATTTGAATAAGACCATTAGCTAACTTCAGATAGAAACTGCTCCTATCAAGATAATTGGATGCAGAAACTAGTGAGACAGAAGCTGTCAGATAATCAGCATATTTAATGAGTTTGGCCTTAAAAGTATACTTAAGGTAATCGAAAAGGAAGAAAACAGAAATTGAGAAGTACAAAACATCAAGGTGCATTAGTTTTAGTTAGCGAACAAATGGAGCGCTTCTCGTTAACATTATGAGAAGTTGGGAAAAGCAGTAGTCTCTTCTTGAGGTTCTAAATGTTAATGGAAACCAATTGTAAACGTCATTATACACACTCAATGGGCATTCCTTTATTACTTCATTTAGTAACAGTGAACTAACCAGACATAATTAGTAGTTAATTGGTGGATGGTGACCAGCCGTGGAATCCACGATGCGCATTTCGTCCTATTTGAAACTCGTCATCAGGATGGAGACCGAACACTTCGGTCCAATCACTCGACAGGAAAATCTAAAATTGAATTCAATAATTAATATGACCCGTTGCACAAGAGGTAGCTCTCGTGGCCCACGTGGTTCAGTGGATAAAGCTTTGGCGTTTGAAACTATGGACACTGGGCTCGAGTCTCGGTGGGAACATCATCACTCCCTGCGGAATGCAAGTACATCCAGGTGACGAGTCCCGAATAGGACGAAATGCGTACCAGGGATTCCACTGCTAGTCACCATCCACCAATTAAATACTAATTAAATGCTCAGACATCGTCGAAGCATCTACACAAGAAGCCGACATGTCAACCTGAGACCACTTCGGTCCAATCAATCAACGGGAAACTTCTAAAATTCAATTAACCGGGCATAAACCAAAAGTTGACGACAGTAGAGGCAGCAAAGACAGAACTTCAAGCGAACAAATAAAAGATAGACGGGATGAAGATGCCCAGTGGTCAGAAATAACAACAAACACCAATCACTGGTAATGACAGAAGTCTAAGGAAGTTCACCTCTTTCATTTATCTGACTAGCACCATTTCAGCTAAAGACAACAGGTATGCCTGGATGTGAAAACCAGGCAGGATTGGAAAAGAAAAACAGATCTTCAATCATCTGAAACTGATGTGAAAAACCATTACACTAAACATAAAGACCCTATCACTTAACAGATATGACATGGGATATGAAGATGGATTGTATACACGCTAAAGAGACCGTTGAGTGGCTTAACACATCAGGAACTCGAATGCCAAATGACTAACAGACTAATTTCCTCTGTATGTCCCGGCCAATGTCTTAAACCAGACAAGAGTTCTGGAAATTAGTTAGGCTTTCAAAATAATCAGTACTTGAGACCAACACTAGAAAATTAACCTGACGCTCACTAGCGACTGCCCTTATTCAGGCAGTGACCTAGGGTTCTAATCGGAAGCTGTGTCCAGCAGGGTACAGCAGATTGAAGCTGAGGCATTTACTCATCGAAAAAGGCATTGTGAAATGATTGCGTTGTGTCATGAATTGCAGAAGTTAGAATTCATGGATAGCCACTGGGTTTAGTCGTAGTGGTTTAATGGTCTAAGCTCACCTTGTAACTAGAAGGTCCTGATTTGAACCCTCGTGATGGGTGCGTGTTGGTGAGGAGCCCCAAACAAGGCTGACGAATCAGGTGTCCAGTACTCCCAATTAGTTTTCCAAAGGATCTCTAGCTGATGTCAGCTCATGATGAAATCCCCGAGCCAATCAAAATAATCATTACACAAAGAAAATCATAGTTACTTCGGTTCGCAGAAGCCATTGCTATCAAAAGACTTTGACCCAACCTATGCATACAGAAAGAGAGGGTGACTAATCTCTCAATAATCTTGGTAATCATAATTATTTTGTTTATATGGCTTTGTGTTTTCCTCTGCTGTGTGACATTCCACTCAATCTTGATTTAGATGTTCACTCACTGTGGTGAACTCACCATTAACGTTCTAAATATATACTAAATTAAATTATTTTATCTATATGTTACAATTTTACTTCTCTATTCACCACACCCGTCTGAATTCTTCACCATAATATGTACAAATTTACTACATTATTCTATCTTGTTTTTTTTTATTAGTCCTTCTTTGTTTCCAAACGAAATCTGAACTCCACTCCTTGCCTAATTACTAAAGTTACATTAACTAGTTACTCTTTAAACACTAAATAAATGTCTACTCATATCATCTTTGAAATTATGTTACTCGTACTTTCTATTTATAACTTGAAGTCATTGTGAAAAGTCTGTTCAAACACCATTTTGTAACATATAGTTGATTTTGTTGTTTAGGATGTAGGCAGGTGAATAGAATTCACAACATTAAAAACGAGCTCGTATAATCTTGTTTGCAAATATGTTAACTTTCTCTTTATTCAAACTAATAAAGGAAACCAGCTGTATGAAATCTTTCTGTCTGTCTGTCTATCTGTTTTCGACATAGAACTTTGGACATTTGTGCGGCAGTTCAAGTTGCAAGTAGAAGAAATGCATAATAGAGACAGTAAACAGAGGTGTAAGACACAGGAATAGTATTAACGAAGAACAATATAGTTTCCTTGGAAATTATAAGTCACAAGGAATTGATTCATCTACGCTAGCCATTGAGAACGACGATTTTGAGCCATATCACCAATTGTCTCCAGCATTCATTCATCCAGTCAGGAAGTCTACACCTTCCTGAGTGGTTGGCTGGCTTAAACTAACTGTTAGGGATTTCATTGACTGGTGCTATCTTTCAGTTTGACAGCCGCTAGCTCTTTTCCAGCCCGACCCTATGTCAGCTAACATTACCCGTCGAGGAAGGCGATGGATGGCTAGGCGTGCGTAACACATGTTGTAGCCATCTCAGTCGTTGTAACTTCACAGCCTCGTCGACTGATTTCCCCTCCTTACCTACCACTCGACCAATGCCTAACCTCAATATTGTTCACCTTATTATATTACTTCACACAGGAGATAGAACTCAGACACCTATGATCAAAGACAGCTAGTCTTTCCATGTCTTCCACTCTCAAAGGCCAGGTCTCGCAACCATAAAGGAGGACGAAGCGGACTGCTGAGCAGTACATCCGCCCTTCGATCGATAGCCAGCCGGATTTCACGTCTACGGCACAGACGGCGTAAACTGTCTGCATGAAATAGCTTTATACTTAGACGTTAACTGATGGTTGGTGACTAGCAGGATGCGCATTTCATCCTACTTGGTACTCGTCACCTGGATGTACCTGCATTCCGCAATGAGTGATGGTGTTTCCAACGAGACTCGAACCCGGTGCCTTTATACTTGAATTAGAGTCAACAATAAAAATCAGTTTTTTTGTGTGTGTGTGTGTGTATGTGTGAGTGGAAATCCTAAAGTTAGATAGTATTGATGCATAGGATTATGAGTCAGCATTGGCTAGATATATGAATGAATAGCTAACTAAATAAATAAAAGAGGTCAACGTAAAGTTCAACAGAGGACTTGTGTAAAATAGATGATCGGAAAATAAACTACACTCACAAATGTGAATATTTCATTTTTCTTCCCAGTGGAACATAGGGCATCAAGCTAGTGGCTTGAAGTTTCTGTAGCAGTGGTGTTTATTTTTACAGGATGAGGTTGCTAGCCTCATGCCCAACCTTTCCTCATTACCAGGATTATTTCTGGCTTAGCGAGGTAAAGGAGTGCCTCTTCGTCCGGGGGATCGAACCTTGGACCATGTACATGATCGGCGAGCATCCTAACCTCTATGCAACCAACGCATAGCAGAAGTAAATTTTTTTAAAACCAAGAAATATTAGTGGGATACATTTTCATGGCATTAAACTTACAGAATTAATTCACCAAGGGGTATAGTTAAACACATTTCTCTTGGAATTAATTCAGCTGTTGAACAATAATGAATTCTTGCATAATCCATCATTGTGATATAAAGACAAAAGAAAGTGGTTATATACTAGAAAGTATTCTGTATAGAAATATATCTTTAATAGTGTAATATCACTATTAAAACCATTGAATAATAATAGTCCATTTCGTCAGTATCCACTTTCCTTTTCTTAACTTGATGAACACAGTAGCATATATGAGTTACACGATGAGTTAATTAATTAATAAGATCACGGATACCTTATATAATTGTTATTTATTTTTGTGTGTGTATATAAATGCTGTTAATCACCAGTGAAAATCTTTCTATGAAAAACATAACTTAGTATACTCATTAGATAATATGTTTATATATATGCACTCCATGTGTTATATTGTGTGTTTGTGTGTGTGTGTGAGTTGGCGTGGGCGTGGATGTGGATACATGAATGAGTGTGTGGGTGGGGATCTAAATTCTTTTCTAGTGTAAAGTAAAACCTCACAAACTAGAGGTAACGTATGTATATACATCTGAATGTGTCTTCAACAAAAAATGCACATGCATGAAAATTTAAAAAAAGACACCAACAGCTAAAAACAACGTTCTTCTTATCTCTCCCTCTCTCTCTCTCTAAAAAGTAAACTATTTATTCTATAATATTAGAACTCATCAGAAGAAAATTATTTAGACATGCATTTTTGTATATTTTATCAGTTAACAGTGGAATACGTCTTATTCTAGATAACTGGATTATCAGGGAAATCATCTTATAGTGTACGGAAAACATTAAATTCATCTTTTTGATGTAGTTGTGTTCTCTGAGCTGGATGGTTAATTTGCGAAGCTTTCATCGCCCTACCAGGCGACATATTCAGCGAATACTTCAATCTATTGAAGTGAGCTTTCAGATTTCTCCAAGAGTTTAGTGATCATCTCTCCTGGTGAGTGACCATGGACATGATTGGTTTTTTCTGTATGTTTTCACACCTAGCCTACTTGTATTGGAACTGATTGTTTCTTTGACTTGAACTTTGACCCTTTGTGTGTGAAGTTTCTTTTTTATCGGTTGATGAATTTTGTCTATCTCTATGTGTCTATTGATTGATGAAGGTGTGGAAACACACAAAAACAACCAATCACGTCCGAGGTCACTCACCAGGAGAGATGATTAATAAACTCGTGGAGAAATCTGAAAGCTCACTTCAACAGATTGAAGTATGCGCTGAAGATGTCGCCAAGTAGATCGGGCGATGAAAGCTTCGCAAATTAACCATTCAGCTCAGAAAACACAACCACATCAAAATCATCCAACTGAGCTACAAATCTTCTCTATCATATCTAGATTCACCTTCCAAGAAAAGGCATTCAAACAAATCGATGGTGTTGCGATGAGGGGGGCCCTATTGGGCCCCTGTTAGCAGATATATTCATGTCTAAACTGGAAAAGCAAATTCAAGGTATGCTTGGAGAATTTATGTTGTATAAACCTTATCTAGATGATATTCTGATTATTAGTAATAATAGTAAATCTATTGAAAACTTTATTACCCTATTTAATCATATTCATCCCAATATCCGAGTGACTTCCGAAGTTGAATTGAATAACAACCTCGGTTTCCGGGATATTACAATGACCAGGAGAAATGATGGAACGATTCAGCGCTCCATTTTTCGTAAACAGATATGGAGTGGACAATATCTTCATTTTACAAGTTTTGTTTCCATCTAGTATAAACGTTCCCTAGTGAAATAAACGTTCGTTCTCAAGGACCCGAAAAATATGCACGAGCGACACATTGATGGTTATCCGGAAAACTTTGTCACTTGTCACAGTAAAGAAAGATCACATCTAGAAAAGACAGCTTCGGTACCAAAGAAAGCTATCTTTATTAACCTACCATTCAAGGGCGACCAGATTATGCAGTTGACAGTTGACAGACTTCGGTTAGCAATCAAACGCACATTCTACGCCGCATCACTTTTTCTCATTCGCCCAACATTTTCGATCCCTATACTTACGATTAAAAGACGAAATTCTATGGACTCTACTTCAAACTGTATCTACAAGTTCACCTGCAGCTGCAGTGACACCTATATAGGTAGAACTAACCGAATGTTCCAATGTCGTCGAAAAGAACATATTCCAAAATGGCTAATAAATCATATCGAAAATCCTAACGCGATTAATCTTAATAGAAATCCAGAATCATCCATTGCAAAACACTTATTAATGTCAGGTCACAAAATCAATATCAATTAATGACTGTTTCAAAATTATTTCATATAACTCTAATTCAAGGTTATTGAAGGTGATGGAAGCACTTTGGATTAATCACATGCAGCCTAGACTGTGTACACAAAAATCAATAGACTTCAATCTTCGCCTACCCTGGACTACATGACCTATCTGAATATGATTGGTCATTAGTATGTACTTTTTTTTTTATTTAACTGAGTTATTTTCATGGACTTTATTTTATTTTATGATTGTTAACCATGTTAGTTGTGAAGCGGTTGTAAAGAAACTACGAAATGACGATATCATCTCGCGAAATTTGCCTTCTAAATGCCTTATTCAAATATATCAGGTGTTAGTTTGGAGGGATTTCAATTAGCTACGAGCTGATATTCATTTGGAGAACTACTGGAAAGCCAAGGAGTGCTAGACAATTGTTTCGCCCTACTTTGTGATTCTTCAGCAGTAAGCAACCAGTGGGATTCGAGAGCAATACCTTCCGGTAATTAGGAAAGCTGATTTAGCCCGATCTAATGACCAATCAAATTCAACTTCTCGAGAACTACATCCCACCATCGTTAGGCAATGTCGCAGTTGAATAACTATCCTTCTACTTCACTTATTAGATTGGGTCCCAGTGTGACTGAATAGCTGAGAGGCTCTTCGTGTAACTGGAAGCCCTGAGTCACTGCGAAGAAATATCATAATTTCGGTAAAAACTTCAAGTACTCTAGCCTGATTACTATGAAGAAACAAAAGGTGTAGATGCACACATTGCTAATGACTTATTGGTAGTGCTAAGAGCAGAGCCCTGGTAGTCGAAATGTTGAACAAAATAACTATAGACTGTTGTTCCATTAGTAGTACCATTTAAGCTCATTTGTGATTGGATTAAGATCCAATAATTAGCAGGATTGAATCAGTGTTTGTCTCCACAAAAATAATTGAGTAGACAACAAAATTGATAGAGTAAAAACGAATTCCAGCCTAATCTTGACAAGTTTATTTATAAAAAGATGATATCCTCTTTACTCAAAGAGATTTATTTTCAAATTACTATTATTACCATAATGAGAGTATCATCTGGATAAGGTTTATACAACATAAATTCTCCAAGCATACCTTGCATTTGCTTTTCCAGTTTAGACATGAATATATCTGCTAACAGGGGCCCAATAGGGCCCCCCTCATCGCAACACCATCGATTTGTTTGAATGCCTTTTCTTGGAAGGTGAATCTAGATATGATAGAGAAGATTTGTAGCTCAGTTGGATGATTTTGATGTGGTTGTGTTTTCTGAGCTGAATGGTTAATTTGCGAAGCTTTCATCGCCCGATCTACTTGGCGACATCTTCAGCGCATACTTCAATCTGTTGAAGTGAGCTTTCAGATTTCTCCACGAGTTTATTAATCATCCTGTGGAGCCTTTAAAACAAAACATTTTAGTTTATCTAATACCATGCTGGATTGATTGTCAAGTCAAGCACATAGGTCAAACTAGTGGGAAAGGGGCAGTCAGACTAGCCAACATAAAAGCCTAGCAAAATCTAGATTGGTTCACTCGAAATGATAAGAAATCTAGCGGATAGTTTAGCTATAGAACTCACTACTTTAATCACACACAACCATACAATAGGATGAGATAGGATGACAGTTTTAAAATCTAATGTAACAGTAGCGTGGAGGGAGAGAATGACAACAGAAACTTTGTTTATCGAATCAACTGCAAATACGTGTAATCAGGATGATTCAACACCTGTCTAGCTGGATATCTGGAAAATTCTACCATCCCTACGACAAATAGGAGAGGACAAAGAAAACTATAAAACTCAAGTTTCAAAGTCGTGTGATCACAAATGATGAAATGATTATGAACCACAATAAATTTTGTCCGAAACGTCATCCAGCAAATAATACTGTTTCGCTGTGTAATACATCTAATAAACAAATTAATATAGAATTACTTACTACCACAGTGCCCAGGTTTGACACATGTTAACTTGACAGGATAACTAGTCACTTAGGAGGATTGAGATATTTTACAGTCAATTAAATAACGGAATCAGGAAAATGCACGGATCTCAGGTAATGATGATCCAGAGAGATATCTTTTTTAGTCTGTTTTGTGACATTTCTGCCCCATAATTCTAAGCAGTTTCTCAAGGTTAGCGGTAATATCGATCGACGTGGCTGATAGACTCTAACTTCACCCTTATTAAAACATAGTCTTATATTTATACCAGTGAATAGATATACAAGGTTTTATCGAGGTTAAATGTGTGTTCCACCGGAATAGTTCTGCATATTCTCTGAATTATCATTGTGATGAGTCACACATTTCTGTGCTATATTGACCTTAACTTGTCACTATCATTTGAAGGTCACTACAGAGAAACAAAACACCTGTCTATTCTCAGCATAGGAATTCCTCAGTCGGGTTTCAGAAATGACTGTCCTACACATAAACAGAATGAAGTCATAATTAGCTCATATTTAGTGTCGATATGTGAGTAAACTTCACATATATGAATATAATTAACCATATTTTAGTACTTGTTAGTTAAAAACAATCGATATGTATATATTTATATTACATATATGGCAGTTAGTCTAATTTTGTCATTTTATTGTCTCATATCACATAGAAAGCACCATAATTAGAAAGATATTTAAAACGTGAGAGACACCAACGAAATAATCGATCAAAAGCACTACACATAAGCTTATATTTTGTATGTTAATGACAGGCAAAGGAATCCATGTAATTTACTTTTTTTATCTTTGCTATTCTGTGATAAGAAATAAGACAATCATTAAAACACTAACAGGTATAGTATCTGACTATCCCTAGTGACTGGCCCTATTCATGCAGTTAACCTGGGGTTCTAGTGGGAAGCCTTGACCAGTAAAGGGTAGAGCAGGTTGAAGATGAGGCAGTAACTCATAGAAGAAGGCATTGTCAAGTGGTCGAGCTATGCTGTGAATTGAC